TCCACAACCGCTATATGATTACGAGAGACGCCGTAGTGGAGGGCTCCTGGAAATTTCTGACCATCTGGTCTTCTTCTTTAGCATATGGCAGAGTGCACGGGCCTTCATTTTCAGCCCGGAAATGTCACTGCCGTGAAGGACAGTGCAGCGTCCGGACTATGCACCACGATGTCTCTTTGTTCAAAATCGATATCGCAAGCTTGTAGATAAAAGATAGAAAGAGAAAAGAAAAAGAAAGCCGGCATTTTGCTCGCTGATTTCGTGCAACCTTGAATTTTTTTTTTCTATAGTGGTGTGCAAGTGTTTAGCCTATCACGAGGTTCATAATGCTTCTGTGTCGTGATGCCGAACCACATCGCTTATATTATAGTCAGCATCGAAGCGCGTGTGCGAGTCAATTACGCGCGAATAATTTTCTGGCACGTTTACGGGCTTGCTAGCTACGACGCAACCGCGTTTGGTCGTGGAAATACAACGTTCACGTCCTGCCCTTGCGTTCGATCGTCGTTTATTCGTAACGGTGCTTTTGGCACTGTGACTTTCCAGTGACAAAGGCCACGCTAATATTTGAGGCACTTGCATATTATATTGTGCGTAGCTACACTATAAAATAGGAGTCGTGATTGGCTCCGCCGCGATGGTCTAGTGGCTAAGGTACTCGGCTGCTGACCCGCAGGTCGCGGGTTCGATTTCCGGCTGCGGCGGCTGCATTTCCGATGGAGGCGGAAATGTTGTAGGCCTATGTGCTCAGATTTGGGTGCACGTTAAAGAACCCCAGGTGGTCGAAATTTCCGGAGCCCTCCACTACGGCGTCTCTCATAATCATATGGTGGTTTTGGGACGTTAAACCCCACAAATCAATCAACCAATCAATCAATCAATCAATCAATCAGGAGTCGTGATTGTTCGTTTCAATAAAGCCCTACAGTGAGGCTTTGTGTAACGTTATGTATTATGCACGGTGCAGGGCTCCAGTTCAGTTTTAAGCAAACCCAAAGTTATTGGCGTGCACCTTATAATGACGTGAGTCTCTTCGCACGCTGCAACCACTGTAGCACGACCAGTATGACTGGGAGTCGAAACCAGGACCTAGACCCACAAACGAACGGTTGCAGCTAAATGGCCACTGTGTGCGCACGAACCTACAACGTCTTTGTTAGACTTGTTCAATCTTGTGGAAATGTACAAAGCAACAAGTTTCCGAAAATGTTATCTTCTGACGACCACCTCGTCATCAGCGCGGCATTCTGAAAGCTCAGAACAAGTTTTTACGAGAGACAGAACTCGAGGAGAAACTACGAATTGATCTTGAACTACCAAGGTTTTTCTTCATTGCCACCTTCACATCATCGACACCATCTCTCTTCTTTCTTTTCCCCATCCCACCTTTTCCTAAGGCTGAGTAGCAGGCCATAAGTGGACTCAAGCCGACCTCTCACTTCTGCCACAATAAAAATTTATCTTTCACTCGCTCAATTTAATAATTAATATATTTTACAGTAATAACTTGTAGTGTAAGTGTGTTCATTTGGACTAGATTGGCAGTGAGAATGAAAAAAATCTCACGTACTTGAGTTAGGTCCACGTTAAAGGCCATCAATCGGTCAAAACAGTTTCGTTTATTACACTGAAGCGAGCTCCGCATTCACAGGGTGGTTTTACCCCGTATAATCACGATTTCAACGAAGCGTGGCAGCTTGGGCTAGTTGGTATGGCATGACGATAGTTATAGCGCGAGAACAGAACGACACACAGAGACAAGAAGGACACGAAGGACACGAGCGCTAACTTCCAACACGAGCTCCAACTTCCAACGAAGCGTCCCATTTTTGCAAGGGACAGCCATCTTTGCATGGGGATCACGTAGAACGACCATGACACCGTCCGGCCTGTTTCTACCACGTGCTCGCCGCAGTGGTGTATAGCCAGGAAGTGGCACGCCAGACCCGTGCCTCTCCCCCTCCCCTCCATGTTTTTTTTCCACCGTGGCATACAGAGTACGAGATAACCATTTCTATGCACCGCCCATACTACTGGTCAAAGAGGTGGCCCTACTACCCCTCCGAAAAAAAAATTTGTGCCTACGCCCCTGGTTCCTGCCACTGGTTTCCGCCTTCGGCTGTGGTTACGGCACATCTCGACATATGATGTGGCGTATAACCAAACCCGCAGTGTTCTGTGCTGGGCACGCCATATAGTGTAATCGGGGTCAAAGTTATGTATGCCATTGCCATAAATTCGTGTGCGAGAGAAAAAAAAATGATCTGGTCCATGGTATATTTTGCATGGATTTCGCTGCCACCGTGCTGGGCCGTAGCCTTAATTGCTCTCTCTCTCTCTCTCTCTCTCTCTCTCTCTTGTATCTTTGCAATGTTGGGCTGTGGCCCGGCCGTTTTGTGTGTTTAAACGTACTGCGTTATACGGTAGACGAATAGGCATGAAAACGTTTGCGTTGCATTTAGACTTTTCACACGCCTGTCGCTCTGTGCGAAAATGAGAAAACGTCCCGGTAACAATGCGAGGTGGCAGCGCCCGTGCGTTTAAAGTAAAATCGTCTACAGAAGCGTGGTCAAACCGAGCCGTTCCCTGTATGCAGGCGGCGATAAAAGAACGCGTTTGCAACAGCGGACAAAAAAAAAAAAAAACGCGAACGCGTGGATGTGTTGCGTACGAATTCGCGTTTGCGGCACGTGCAAGTTGCGCGTGCGCATTGAGACGAGGAAGCGGAAGCGCCGGGGACGGGAAGGGGAGACCTTATCCGCGTTTGCGTTTCCGGGACGACGTGTGCAGCAGGCCGACCTTGGCGAGCTTCGCCGTCTCTTTTGGCTGGCTTTGTGTGGGCCCTGCATTGATTTCCCCCACTATACTCTGTGACAAGGAAGATACCTTCTTTTGTTTTATTTATCTAGCACGCCTAGCCTTGTGGTCTCGCTGAAAATGTCAGGCCTGTGTGGAGCGGGGTGTCTACAAGTTTAGGAAACAGTTCGAGTGAATATCTGGGGGTCATAATGAGTTCACAGATGAAAACAATATAGCAGAATGCAGTCTTACCACAAGCCTTTCTACAGACCTTATACTACGAAACTTGTGATTAGGACACACAAATGGTTTGAGTTTCCTACCCCCGTATTCCAGAACGCCCCTTCACTCAACGCTCCACCTTCACTTGAGAAAGCCGATGGGAGTGCCATCTCTATAGGCAAGGAGAGTCACTGCATATCAGTGATAACTTGCTGCTATTCATGAGTAGAGCAGCGCCATTTTCAGCCGAGCAGCAGCGCAGTGCTCAACTCTGTCAAGTGAAGGGTGAAAGTCGAGTCGAGGAGCGTTTGTGAATACGGGGGTTAATCTATAGAACTTTATACTTAGAGAGACAAAGAGAAACAACTTTATTTACGGCACAACGAGGCCGTTAAATTTTACTTGCCGGTGGTTCGAAGTGGGGTGATCAGTAGCTAGCCACGACTGTTCTGGCCCAGTTATTTGCTTCTGCCTTGGTAAGGCAGTGTTGCCTACAGGAGTGTCTCTCACGAGGAGGAGGAGGAGAGGTCCATGCCTCGTAGGAGAGAGCTGGTAGTGTCCTCGCAGGAGGAGCTGTTGGCGTTTGTTTATGTATAGCTTCATCGTAATAGCCAAGCCATGACATCGAATTCGGCGCCTCGTTTAATGCTTACGAGGGCTCACACTCGTCACTAGATCGTTTTTCTAGCTCGTAAATAGCTCCACAGTCTAATTCGATGTAATATTATTGGTCTAGCTGATCACACGAAAACTCAGACAGATATGACTGTACAGACTTACGCGCACTTTCACTCGCATCCGTACAATTGAATATCTTTAGAATTTCTGCTCGTATTGCACTTATTTCAAGCGGGCTTACGAGTTAGTGGAGTGTGATACGTTCACTTAAGAGGTGTCATAGACATAGATACAGTTTAGTTGGCATTGAGTCCTTTGAAGAAAGCCGTTATTCAAATACCGGAGCAAAAAGCCGCTTTTCAGAAGCTTTACAAGCCTCGGGAAAGCACTGCTTGCATTTGGCATGGGGAATTTCATTAAAAAAGGACTTATAATTACATGTGACGTTGCAATAATTAATTACACACACTACGATGCACGTTGCTACACATACACGCTGATATAAATAACATAATTTCTAACACAATGGGAATGTCATATTGACATTAAAATGTCTATTACATGTATTGAACAAGTAATTTAAAACAAGGTGTTTAAACTTGTGTAAAAGAGCATTTCATATTGCCTCATATAGATAGGCTTGGATATTCTAATAATGTCAGGGCTGGCTTCGATACACCTTGCGCCATGAGAGAGAGAGAGAGAGAGAGAGAGAGAGAGAGAGAGAGAAAATAAGTACCTTTGATTACAAGGTACCTATAGGGGAGAGAGAGGCTTACAGTGTGCGCGGAGCTCGAGCTTTTAGGCCCCCGCGACCACCGTCAGCTGTTCGTAGAGATCGGCTTCAAGCTCTCTCTCACTGCTCGTGGCAAGGGTGAATAAGTCAATGCGTGTCGAAACAACGCAACGAAAACTATAGGTTGGATATCAACTGGGCACCATAGTTCATTTGGCATATATAAAAAGCAAGAAGCCACGCAAGTACGAGTCTGCTACCGTTAGCAAACTCGTCGGGGCTAGGTATAACATCTATATCTAAGTATTCTCTTACTACCTATTTTCTTGTTACTGGCGAGGCCCCTTTCCAAGGAGTCCATCGCAAAAACAAAATAAAGCATTCACGCTGGTGAAAGAACTTTCGAACACCTGCCCAAGACTCGGGAGTTCAACCGCCGCTGCTCGAAAGAGACAGTTCCTCTGCCAGCACGGGGATGTGGGCTGTCTCATTCTGTCATCATTTAATACTTACCCGAGATGCGGGACCCTCACCGACGACCCTTATGTCTTCATCGTTTACGTGAACTGCAGGCGCACGCAGCCTATAAAATAGCGAAGTGAACCGACGATGCGGCCAGCCAAGACTGAGCGGAAAGCTACACCCAACAATGACTATGTTCGCAGTCGCCATCTTCGGGATCGCCGTCCTGTTCTGTTCGTCAGTCGGTAAGGTCTTCTTTTTAATGTACATTGAGACGCCGGTAGATAGTGTGCGTCACGTTTTCCGGTTGCCTGGTGGAAGAGACGTAAATTATCTGCATGAGGGATCCGAATGTCTGAATATCTCATTCGGTGGTTCACTAATAGATTTTCAACGGCCTCCTCTTTGGCCAATGTGTAAATAAAGCGGAGAAGTGCGGATAAGCCGTGTATAGGAACAGTAAAAATCTGCACCACCGTTTGCGCTCCGATTTCGAAAAGTGCGCGTCAAGCAGTTCGAATGGTTGTAACTGCGCGCCGGTGCCAGTTGAAATATGTCATACTGTCATCGAATAAGTCGATTTCAGTAAAACACATTTGTCCGAGTATAGTTAATAAACAAGTTTTGAAAGAACATATCAATACTCAGTGTCTAATATTCTAATCGTGCGAACTGGATTAGCTATACATAATTTAATAAACAAGACGCAGAAAAATATGCCGAGTTAGCGGCTGATGTTATACGCCAAATTCCATTTCTGCGGTTTCGTCGATTCGTTGATTGAGGGAGGTGGTGTGGCAGTGCCGCTGTGAAAAGACTGCGGAATGCAACTCTTGCGGTAATCTCGAAGACAATTCTATAGTTTGACATTGCTAGAACATTACACCCCCCCGGTAGCCGCGTACACTATAGCACAGGTACAGCCTCATTTTAAATCCGGCCTGCTTGCCGATGTCTGAGCAAGACACTGCTTTTTTTCTCTGATGTCCCATCCCGAAAGGTTTTTGGGCGCAGCTCGCAAACCCCCGTTCGGGCGTTGAGCGGCGTCCCCGTAGACGTCGTCGTATTTAGGGCCGTTCCACGCACTTCCCGCACAGCCGCAACGCTCATGTCGGGACCCCTGCCGCACGCAAGCGGGGGACAAATAAGACAATTGGCGACGCTCTTTCGCCCTCCGCAGCGTCGCTAATTGGCTTATTTGTCCCCCGTTTGCATGCGGTAGGGGTCTCGGCACGTGCGTTGCGGCTGTGCGGGAAGCGCATGGAACGGCCCTAAAGGCCTGACCACACGCACACGTCGCAGCACGGCAGCGCGGGATCGGCTTGGCGCCGAGGAACGCCCTCTCCCCAGAGAGAGAGAGAGAGGCCACGTGGCTACGCGATGCCGCGTGCCCCCTCTCTTCATAAAGAGCGTCAGCGCGTCAGTGCGTGGCTTTCTGACGCGCCGCGTCAAGAAAGCCACGCACTGACGCGCTGCGACGGATACGTGTGGTTCGGCCTTGATAGATCGAACGAGGACGAAAGAGTGCGATGGCGTGGGCCATCGATACGACGAGCCACTGGCCTCTAACCTCACTGCCTCCTTCCGTAACGCGCGCTTAGCCCTCGGTCGGAGCTCGTCCGCATGCACTGCATGAAACACTGGCACATGCACTGCACCTGGCTTCGATTATAGTAACGGGGCTTCCGGTGTTCCGCTTGGCTCGCGACGCCTGAAATGCGCAGAGTGGTGCGCGCAGCACTCGAGCACCGGTAGTTTCTGTTGCAATAGGTAGCAAATGTTACTTTCAAAACTTCGCAGTTGCGCTGCCCCTACAAAAAGCAGCGCTCAAAATTCGCCCTAGGCATGACGATAGTTATAGCGCGAGAACAAAACGACGACACAGAGACTTATTGTCTCTGTGTCGTCATTTTAATTGTTCTCGCGCTATAACTATCGTCATGCCATACCAACTAGCCTAAGCTGCCACATATCGCCAGGGCATGCAGTATCGGGATTGTCGGTGAAGTTTTACCTTGTTTATGCCTACTATAATTATTCTTAAATGTCTGTACATACTAATAGTTCCTAAATTCACACTTGAAATAAGCTGCATTTCTGACACTTCTCGCATTTAACCCTATTGTGCATTGCGCCACTACTGAATAATCCGTATTTTTTCTGTCTTTTTTTTTCTTTTAGGCGCTGCTCCAAGCCCCTTAAAGGTACGTCATAAGGGCTATTGATTCATGACACATATATATATAATATATCGAAGCCATTAGCAATAACGTGAGCAAAAAGTTTCATACTGTATAGGCCTGATTATATGTTCCTCGAACTTATTTTGCCGTTCACTCTTGTCTAAACTCGGCTGCATGAAGGTATAGATTTAGTTGGTATAGATAGGTAAGAGACTGACGATGTTTCGACTGCATATTCATTCACTTCGAGCTGAATTGTCGAGCCATAAGTGGTTGGAGCTGGAAGGATTCCCATTTCAATAGTCCAGCTTGAAAAGAAACACTGGATTTTTCAACCACGAGAAAGTTGTGGGGTGCAATCACGACAAGCGAGGTCCTTCAGAGGGACCGGAAGGGTGGGAACTTAAACGTTGTGTTTGAATGTGTTTGATATTAGGGCAAGAGGATGGAGCGAGAGAGGGATAGACCAAAATCTTATGAAGCGAGCTTTCCCCCTCTCTCCCTGCCTCTCTCTGGGACTGGCCATGCAGAGCGCGCACGCTGGTCTCACAAGCCTCCTTGCTTTCCTATGCTTACTGACTCTCTCTCTCTCTCTCTCTTGACTAAATTGTTGAAATTCTAGAACTCCCAATCCGAACGGGACGGAGAAGGTGGTTCAGGCGGCGGTGGCATCTTCCCGGGCCTGGACCAGTTGGTCAGCATGCTCCCGGGCGGCACCCTACCCGGAGGCGTGACATTGCCGGACTTAGCAGCGGCCATCTCAGCAGTCAGCGGTGCAGCTACGCTCCCTCCCGCGCTACCAACCAACCTCCCTCCCGTGTTTCCCACCGGATTCCCAACAAACATCAACGACGTAATCAACGCGATCCCTGGCGTCAAACCGTAACGGTGCCATTGGAAGTGCCGTACAATTTCTTTAGCGTGGCCGCTTCGGTGCGAATAAAGAAGAGCTTTATTCAGACACTTTTGGCTCAAACCTTTATCGCTGGGACGGCTGTACTGACTCTCCAAACGCAAAGAACCACACGAAGGCAAGAATTACAAGGTCGGGAAACTATACTGCAGTGGGATATACACTGATAGCAACGGAACCAATGGGCTCGGCTCTTTTCATTTCTGCCGAAGCTCACATCATGCACCTAATAATGTTGTTAAATGGTGCATAATATTGTCTTGTCAGGTTTAATGATTTAAATACCAATTCGAATCCTTTTCCCGTGTCGTTATAGTGGTCAAAGTAATGTTCTGCCCACGTCGATGTTCTGTCAATCATCGCCAAAATCACCATGCGTAACTGGTCAATGACAACAACCACAAAAGGATGGACTAGAGCGATAAGCCCTGTACCTTAATTTACACTCCCAGAGTCTTCCCAGCTGTGGCCAACATTCCAGCGGGAGCGTCGTTGTTAAGGGAGTGCTTTAATGGAGGTTGTCTGGAAAACGTTTGCCGATGCAAGAAAAATGTCGTACAACAGGACAGTGGACTGTACTCGTATACTTGTGCTGTTGTTTTTTTTATTTTTTACGATTAATTCATGCCAACAAGCTCAAATCATTTCACGTTTAAATGAAAAATGGTCAGAGATACGCTTGGTGTATGCTGCACAAAATAAAACTATAGGCCGGGTTCTGGTTTGCACGTTTATTATTTTTTACACATGTCTCACTTATCCCCATCGTTTGACCTAGTTCTGTGTTTTCTAACCTGCACAATAGCTCTAAAAAATGGCAGTTACTTGCAGGAATTTTTTCAACACCAGGTTTGTGATGCGTGTTCCTAGTTCACGATGAAATTAACTGACGTTGTGAAATAATTTTTGTCACCGAAATGCATTGAAAACGTTTTGTTTATAGAGTAACAGCTGGGCATTTCACCGAAAGTTCGACGGTGCACATTAAAACTGCTGTCGCAGTCGGATTACGCTCCAACTTGTAGCTAAATATGCTTTGTGAACTGTACTCACCATCTAAATTTTTAAATTCAAACATGCATTTACTGGGCCATCAAAGTAGACTTTTCTATAAGTTAATTAGAGAAAATATCTTAATTATACAGTTATACACCATGACCTGTTGAGCATGGCCATCTCTTCGAGCAATCAAGCTCGAGGATTACACACACAAAAAAGAAATGTTAGCTATATATTGATAAAAAAAATGTGGATCTGCATTAGAACCATCAGTGTCTAATACTGTTATTCAGAACTCGATTAATCCTCCGTCTACTCTTCAATCTCACGCTGATAGCTCCGTTCAACTTCTCAGAAGCGTACGCTTAGTAGGTGTACGCTGTGCGTTTTATTTGTTTTTGTTTTGGTTATTAAATTTCCGGAATTTACCCCTGCTACGTTAGCGATTAGAGAAAATTTCTCCCTAACCTTCTACAGAATCTACACGCATATGTTATAGGTTCCCACCTGGCACAACTGTTGCGTTTACAAAATTGTATGCGCAATTTCAAGCTCTCGAACGAACATGTGTGCCCGCGTCTCCGCTATCCACTAGCAACGCAAAACAGTCGAGCGGGAGCGTGCATCCGCAGTCAAGCGTGCTGGCCGACCGGAAACAGTCTGTCAATCCTCAGACGACTGCTTTTTTTTTGCGCGTCGAACTAATTGTTGCGAGGCGCGAACGCACTTTCAGGACCGACGTGCACGTTAGCGAGCCCGCGCTGCCCTCTTCTGGTGCATCGAGGTAGCGAAACCCCAAGCTTGTAGCCATTACTCGAGGTAGCAAAACCCCAAGCTTAGCCTTAATACCACGATTTGGAATGTAAGTTTCCAAAGAAGAGCAACCTGAAACAATGTCGTTTTCATCGATATATCGTGGGAGGAGATAATCCATTATGCCGTGAGTATGTGCTCATTACAGTTTAGCGGGGGTTCTGCTTTGAATTTTAAAATCACCGCTGTATTTTTGCTCTTGTCGTTGTGAGCACTGCCACAGTTGACGTACGCGACATGTTTTTCCCCATTTTTTTCAGGACAGCAACCTATATTAAAATCCCAAACTTACTATTTAAAACTAGAGATTATTTATTGCATGCCTTGAATGTACTTTTATTGTGGTATTTGAAAATAAATATTTATTGTGAAGCCAATTTCACGACGTGTGGGCGTGTGAAAAGAACGAGCGTACGTGAGAGAAAAATACCTGAGCGTTTAATTGTGGCCCGTCATGACGATAATACGTCGGTTTTGAATGCATACTTGAGCGGTTACATCACCGTAAGAGTGAGCGGATGCTCAGTTTTTTATAAACAACAGAATAAAAACATACAAAACGGCGCCTGTAAACGACGCATACGTCAGCGTGGCCACTAAACCGCCGGCTGAGTCGACATTAAAAAAGTTTTCGCTCGGCGCTGGGTGTGTAATACAACAAATGCGGACCAGAAAAAAGATCGTAGAAGTGGCCTCTTCTTGAGTAAGTTGACCTCGCGTTTAACGCGCGCGCCGACACTTATCACGGGAAGACAGCGTAGTCGTGCAAATGAGAGGAACACACAGGGGACTTCCTGTTTAACAAGTGACAAGTAGGGCTGGGTCGCCATGTATTGGGCACAATAGGTTGCGAAGTGTCATGCTTGGTGGTCTGCTATATTCCTCGATGTTTCGCGTAGGTATTGAAGGGGCCTTTCCTTTGCAGGTTGGCTTTATCAGGTTGCCCTGACTAGACCGATCCCATCGCAACAATACCTGCCAACTGAACGAGGCCGTCTGTGCTGTGCCGTGTGCGCCGCCGAATTCCGAAAGCCACCATGAGCTGGTTCAGGCTGAAGCGTAAAGACAACAAACGTAGTGTCGACTCCGGGGTGATTGAAGAAATTGGACAGCCGTTTCAAGTGTCTCACGTTGTTCACGTCGGCTACAATCCTGCAACGGGAGACGTGGAAGGACTGCCCGAGCCATGGCTGAAACTCTTGCAACATTCCAACATTTCGTGAGTACTTTAGTGTAGAACGCGTAGAACAACATACATTTACCCGCGTCGCGTTAAAGTGCGACACTCCATATTGTTTGTTGACCCGATACTGTTGCGTCCCTATAACAGGAAACGTTGCAGTGTCTTCGCGCTTGTACGATAAGCCGGTGTGATACGATGAGATGCCGTTGCGCCGACGCCCGTCGGTGGCATGCTTAGCGCAACGTTCGATTATACTGTCACTGGTATTAAAAGATGATAAAAAGAGTGCTGAAATAATGTTGGTACAATAAAGTGATGCACGTAGTGTTTGTATTGTCAGTACAAGTGCCACCGTGCAAAGCGTGTTCTGGCTTCTGTTCCACAACAGCGCCAAGGAACAGAGCAAGCACCCAACTGCTGTTCTACAAGCCCTAAAGTATTATCAACATTCCATAAAAAACAAGAATGGTGTGGCCAAGTTTCTGGGCACAAAGGAAACCGTGGAACAAGAATCAAAAGAGATTGCAGACACTGTTCCAGGTAAGAATAGTCAATGTTGGCACACTGTCTTCATTCTGAATCAAAACCACTTTCACGTACCTGTAGTTCGATATTGCATGTGCTGGTTTATTCGCACATGGAGAGAAATAGTATCCTGCTGCAGTTGTATTGCAACCTTGCATGAAAAAAAAGAGGGTACAAGGTCTTCAATGTAGACCAAGTTGATTATATAAATCTCAGCTGTACACACTATGATGATTCAAGTTATTGGTTTATTGATTTGAAGTAGTACTCACAGTTAATACCATTTCATGCGGTTGAGTATGCTAAAGTTAAAAGGATCTTTCATTAAGTTTGTACTTTCATAAAAGGAGTATTTTGCACGCTACTTTAGCCTCTAAAGATAGCCATGGAGGATACTTGAAACCTTATTAAAAGCTATAAGATCACTGAAGGTGTCTCAGCAGGCTATGGTGATGCGGTCTTGCAGAAATGAGCGATGATGAAGGCCTTGATGACCTTGACGAACAACCAGAAGAGGAAGTTGTACCATCAAAACCACTACCCGCGTACGAGGACCAGAAACCCCCCGTCGCTCCACTCGCATCTCCAGTTATGCGAAGTAAACGAGAAGAAGCGCCCCGAGTGTCTGAAGAAGAGGTCATGTTGCAGCTCCGTAAGCATTGTTCTCTGCTTCTTGTACTATTTTACAAGGGAGTTTAAATGGAGGCACGACACGTCTTTTCGAAGCTACTCTCACGCTGGAGTCGTACTTTGTAAACTTGAAGACTTGGAAACATGCGATAGCTGAAGTTCCTCTTTGAGTCTCAATGCACCGGACCTCATGTAATCACTGTTATCACGACATGTTTTCTACAGGCTCATAAAGGACGAAGGTGTAATCATGTTGCTTTAAAGAAAAAGGAACAGCGAATGTGGTGTGTCCGTTTGTTCTTATTGCAGTTTTGTGCTGTAACCACAGCAGTTGGAGAAATGGAGCAATCCAGTGTATTATGATGCCTTGATTCTCCTTCATACAGAAACTGAATCTGGTAACTCAAAAGGAGCATCGTGTCTGAAGCGCTCTAGGGCTTAGTAGCATCTATTTGGCAGTGTAGATGCTTCAAACTGAGAAGCTTAGATGGGGAGGGGGGAGAAGAAAGTATCATATCATTACTACTTTAATGCAAACACTGACCAGTTGAAGTGCTGCTCGTGAAATCATATGTGCCAAGTTGGCGCCTCAGAAGCACAAGTGCTAGTAGAAGAAGTATAATTTGTAGAATTTTGCTCAGATATTTATACAAATCAGTGTTGCATTTTGCGACTGCTGTGTTCTCATTTCTCTGGTAATCATGACAGTGACAATTTAGGTCAAGACCGCCTCGTTAAGAGATAACTGCTGTTCGCCTTGGTGGTACAGTGGTTAGGGTGTGCGGCTGCTGACCTTTAGGTCCCAGGTCTAATCTATGCTGTGGCGGTCGCATTTTGATGGAGGCAAAACAGTAGAGACCTGTGTACTGTGCAATGTTAGTAGTGCACAGAACGCCAGATGTTTGAAATTTCCGAAGCCCTCCACTAGAACATCTCTCATAATCATGTCGTGGTTTTGGGATGTAAAACCCCAAGTATTATTGTAATTAAAAGATAAGTGCTCTCTACATATACTAAAAAAAAGTGAACTTCATTCTCATGCTGTGCTAGCTGTAAGCAACGGTGGAAACACTTGTAGGTGCAGGTGGAGCTCACTAAAACAATACTTAGTTTCTAGGGTAATATGCACCTCTAACCGTACAGGGACGGGCTGGACACGCCACAAACACAGAGTGCATACTAACAACTATTTTATTTCCGAATGTTTTCGTCATGCATATACACAAAAAAGGGCATTGCAAAAAAAAAAAAAAAACCTGAAGCAAGACAGCAAGGAAGTGCAGTCGACTTCCGATAATTCGAAGTCGCTTAGTTCTAACTTTCAGTTAACTAGAAGTCAACATGTGGTCCCATCAATTTTGCATGCATGTCTATAGAGAAAAAATTCTAGATAATTCGAAGTTAAAAGCCCATAATTTCGGTCAATTAGGAGCTATTTTTCAGTGTAGAGCTTCGATGTGACCATAATTTTTCAATAGATCGGAAATTTTTTACGTGCCAAGACCGCCAAGGCAGCTGTTGGACCCCGCTGTTGTCGCTATCGCCACTGCTTGCAGCGCCACAGTTCATGAAGCAGCCATCTTGTTTAGTCAACGCCGAGGCATCGGATTGATAACATCGGCTAACTCGGTCATCTGTTGTGATGTGTCGAGTGCTTCAGCCGCACAAGGGGTTGAAGTCTGGTTTTACAAAAGCGCGACTAAACGCTGGCAGAAAAGAACGCTCACACAGACACAGTGCTGTGTGTGTGTGTTTGCCCGTTGTGCTCCATCCGCATTCAGTTGCGCTGTTCAAACATAGCATGATAAGCCTACTAGCCCATCAACGCCTTGTGGGATGACTCTGCGCGTGTTTCCACAGCCGAATTTGAGTGCTGTGGTTGCGATGTTTGATAATGGCAATTCACGGCCCCTACCGAACGCTTAACCTTGTGGGGGAAGTGGAAAGTCTTGAAAGAAGTTGACCAGGGAGGCACCGCTAAGCAAGACATCGCACGAAAGTACGGCGTTAAGCCTCACTCGCTTTCAAATTTCATCAAGTGCAAACAGCTGAACTCGGCGGTAGTTTTGGGGCTGTTCTTAGTAATGCCCGTTTTGGAAAATTTATTGCCGTGGACTGCAACGTCGATTCATGCAGCCCACTAACGCACAGAAGAAATTGTGCAGATGCTTAGGCTAGTAGGACAATGGCATAGAAATGAACCGCCACCGGGGACTACCAATGTTGCTGCAGATCTTGCTCTTGCACTACATTTTTTATGTTTTGTTGAAAAATACATTGCTGAAGAAGCACTGCAACATGTGTAGTGCTTGAAAAACTTTCTAGCCGCAGCCAGGTTCGGCAAGAGAAGATGACATACTATTTTCTTAAAGAACTGTCAGGTTTGAAGCATTGAAGTGCAGTTTTTCATCCATTTTGCTTAATTAGAAGTTTGTTTAATTCGAAGTTTCTTGCAGTACCAGTGAACTTCTTATAAACGGGAGTTGACTGTAATCACATGGGCATGGGCATGAGAAAATTCAAGTTGTTTTTATGAAGTGATTTTCTTTTGAAGAAAGATTGATCTTTCTGTCTTGCCTCAGGTTTTGTTGCAATGCCCTCCTTTGTGTATATGTGCAGGAAAATGTCTGGAAACAAAATGGTGGTTAGTATGCACTCTGTGTTTGTGGTGTGTCCAATCTGTCGCTGTACGATTAGAAGCACATTAACCCAAGATGCAAGACCAGCTAGCCCCGGTAGCTGCTCTTAAGCATAGTTGGCGTTGATGTCACCATGGCCACCTTCATGGGTATAAGCTGGTTGAGATTGTGCATGAACTCTTGAATCTTACTCCAATGCATGTAGCAAGAATGGGGACGTCGGATTAGTGCCGGTGCCCTTCAGGTTCCTTTGTGTTCCCCCTTGAAAAAGTGTTTATATGGCATTTAAAACGTTTGGAATGCATCTAATGACGTAGTGTCGTTTTTGTGATTTCAGAAAACATAGTGAATCCTGAAAACCCAAGAGAACGGTATTCATTAATGAATAAAGTGGGCTCAGGGTGAGTGCTGCACATTCTTTTTGTTGAGGATGTTTATTAATGTGCACCTTTGACCATTATTGTGAACCGTTAGACTGTGAACCTGATGGTTGCTGTGACTGTTGATCATGATTAGCTGCTATTGGCACAATCATCCTGTTTGAGAAACTCTTGATTTTTCTATACACTTGCCAGCTCTTCTAAAACTTCTGCTAACTTTGCTAATGAAGACTCATTTTATGCTGTTTGCATCACATTTTTTGAAAATGTATCTTGTATTAATTTACACCCAGTGCCCGAATTTACTGCTTTAAGTTTTATGATAATGAAAATATCCTATAAAAGTGCACCATGGCAATTACCATAGAAGCTCATTAATTCCAACTTAGCTGATTCGAGCTTACATCTTATTTGAATGAACGCCATGGTCCAGGCACAGCCCTGTGTATTTCTATGGGAGGGGGAAACTCCTGATAATTCGAACGAGGCTGTGTCAACAACAGTTAATTCAAACTGGGAGCCCCCGATTTCGATCGCTTCTTGCATAAGTTGGCTCAGAATAATCACAATGGGTTGTAAAACGAAACTTGACTAGATTTACTACAAATGCAAAACAACAATATAGCAGCATTTCTAAGATGAGAATTCTAGTGGGCAAGCTGCAAACAATTCTCATAAAGTTGTGATAGACGAAACACTAGGAAAGTGCAAATCACTGATTAAATTTAATTTTTATTGCCCCAACTTTATCATGTATATAAGGATGTATTTTAGAGCACAAGTAGTGTCACATATTTCACATGGAGGCTCATTGCTCACATGAACGCACGTTGGTGCTGGTTTCTGGCGTATCACCGACTGATAAATTATTTTTGTTCAATGATAGAAATCTGTGTATACTCAATTTTAAACGACCTGCCGCAAATGTCTTGTAGCACTTCATCCACAAAAGCTAATCTAGAGGTGGCTTGTTTGGGTTCTGCCCACAGAGTATGATGCTGTGTCTGTTCATTATAGTGCCCGCCCGCTCATTCGAACTACGCTGAATTTAAACAATTTTGTAGTCTCCTTAGAGTTAACAAGCTTTTACTGTATTTGTGCAGCTGGCAGTACCTATCGGAAACAAAACAAATTTTTATGAGTAGATGAAGACTGGAACTCGTAAATAGTAGTCAAACAAAAGGCTTCCGGGGAAATCACCTCAACAGTGTAACTTATCTCAGACAGGCGTCTCTTATTCAGCCACTGTCAAGCAATACCTATGTGTCTAGTGTTCCCTTTGTCTGGTCAGCCAAGGCTGCTGCACCTTGTTAAATTAGACTAGTCATGACCTGGGATTCGGCTGTGGGGCCAGCACAAAGTTCATTTACATTTATAAGAAGTGAAACATTTTACTTTGCATTATTTAGTGAGTGATAGTTATTGCTGCTCGTGGCAGATGTTGCAAATATGGAGCATGCAAGGTCAATAAGTCAACATAAGTTAGTATGATGGGAACACAAACATGCTTGTGTTCGAGTAAAGGTCTTAACCAAGCTATTCTTCATCTCAATACAAACTTGGCTTTTCTGGCTTGCTGTCCTACCTGATATCCTTGCAGTGGGCCATTGAAACATACAGTGTGGCACACATTTAAAAGAAATGCTTGACTGGTTATAGATGAATTATGACAGCCACTCTTATTAAACTATGTCAAGAAAATGTTGCTTATTCTATGCACCAGGTTGACATGCACGCAACAGAAAACAATTTTCTGACCTTTATTACATGTGCTAATTGCACTGTAAATCGCACCCAGTGTGAGTTGCAACAGGCTGCCCATGATCAAAGTGGCGCCAACACTGCACAAGAATGCTGACGTAGATTACAACCAGTGATGTAAGCACTATTGCGACTGCTCCTATTTAGAAAACCAGTTTGACGTCGGCCGATGTTACAGTATAAGATTGGGATCCCTTCGACTGTAGCCATTGGGTCGCAACTTATATCGAGAGCCACTGTGTAATACAACTCTTTGTAGAGTTCCTTGGCGAGACAGCTGACAGTTTCGATTCCGTCCATTCTGGTACCAGGGCATCAGGCACAGTGTACACAGCAACAGATCGCCGAACGCAGCGTAAGGTAGCTGTGAAGACTATGGAGCTGGCCCAGCAGCCCAAGAAAGAGCTGATCCTGACCGAGATCGAGGTCATGCGGCAGAACAAGCACCCCAACCTGGTCAACTTCCTGGATGCCTATCTGGTCGACGGAGACCTGTGGGTGATCATGGAGTACCTCGAAGGTGGGGCTCTGACGGACGTCGTGTCGGAGACGGTCATGCGTGAAGAGCAGATGGCTGCTGTGTGCCTTGAGGCGACACGAGCCATTGCGTTCTTGCATTCTCAGGGCATCATCCATAGGTGAGACAGTGAAGTGGCTTGTTACAGTGATAGCTTAACTAAACTTGATGGTATAAATCTTTTGGGGATAATAAAGTGCGAAGTTGACATTTATATAGATCAATACTGTGTCACTCGTTCTATGTAAGTCTCTGTTTTTGCGCTCCATGTTCCAAAGAATTGTTATAACGAACAGGAATGGTAGCCATGCTGGTCTGTAGGCTGATTTTCGGAAAGAGCGAAGGCTAATTAAGGGGATTCAAATATTTAGAATGTATACTTGTATTTGTTGATGCAGCGAATGCCCAGTACAGCCCTATCTCATATGCTTTTGTTCCTCCGTGTTCTAACCAGGTTTTAGTGTTCTTATTTCCTTTTGTTACGTGATGGCTAAAAAACTAACCAGGTTTTAGTGTTCTTATTTCCTTTTGTTACGTGATGGCTAAAAAACTCGGGATGATGCCAAAGTGCAAATTAGCTTCTGTGGATGCATTACGAATAAATTAAAACTAAATAAACAGGGTCAGGAGTGATAGCAATGAATGAAGCTGATAACCATTGCTGTGAAGTACCTGATAGATGAACTGGAAAATATAAAGGGAACGAATGAAGCTTCTATCTGAATTGAAAAGCAGTACAATACCTCATCACAAAACTGAAGTGCTATCCGTGTAAAATGTAAGATTTTAAATGTAAAATGTAAGATTGTAAAATGTACAATGTAGCTAAGATTTCATTTCTATAGGCGAGAGGGGGAGCATTGAAGTGTGCAACACCATTGAACTATGTCACTGATTGGAGTGTGGTGACTCACACCTTTCAACAGGTTGGGGAACAGAGATGTGTGCTGCTTTTTTGAGAGAGCTGCCAAGTGAAGTGTGGTCAACATATTGCTCACGCGTGCACCTCATATGAAAAGTCTCTACAACCTTTGCCTCTTGAATCATTAATTTTTAATTTTTTTATTTTAGCACAGCTGTGTTTTCTGGCTCACAATTACAATCGTAGCAGTGTACAGACTTACATAGTGTCCCTAAATATTTATTTCCGTTGTTCGTTTTGCAAAATTCATTATGATACTGGAATATCAAACTGCAATGTTGTCAACTCTAGTATGGTAATTCAGTGTTGCTGGTTGGGATACAAGGATTATGCTAGGACGATCAGTGGGTCTTTTAGTTAGCCCTGGTTTTTTTTTCTTTTCATTGGCAAATCCGCATTCCTCATCGTGCAATGCTTTTTAATTATGAGTGCTCAACCAGAATGAGAAGAAAAGTAAACAATTACCGCACATCAATCAAAGAAACAAACACATGTTTAAACAGCTGCTTTAATGAAAGCTGCTTTAGGAAACCTGAACATATTTTGTTGATTTTACTCAGTTCTCTCTCTCTTCCTTTTTTTTCCCCTTGACGGTGTATGTGTTTTTTCACAGAACTTATTATCTCTGACAACTTATGTTTTTACCAAGCCCTGGATTTGAAATTGAATGAACTGCAAAACTTTTCTTCTGAATAGCTAATATGGCTTCTAAACAAAAAGGCCTGCACGTATGTGCTGCTTTTCAGGGACATTAAGTCTGACAACGTGCTGCTTGGTATGGATGGTGCGGTGAAGGTGACCGACTTCGGTTTTTGTGCCCAAATCCGTCCTGATGAGAAGCGGCACACCATGGTGGGCACACCTTACTGGATGGCACCAGAAGTGGTCACTCGAAAGCAGTACGGACCCAAGGTAAGCATTCACTGCCCACCAAGTCACTGCCACGAAGCCGTGCTGTGGCCACATAGTGGTGAGATGTGCAGGTAGATGCACTGCTTTCAAAAGGCCCCTGGACAGGTTTCGACATTGCGAACCAGCAAAGGAATAGATGGCTAGTCTTACAGAATTCACAATGTAGGCAGACCTCTCATTGGGTGTTGCTTTAGTAACTTCAGCACTGACATGGCAGTTGGAGCGTTTGCCTGTTATGCCTGCTTGGAGAACTTAATTATAATTATAAATCTCTACGGGTCATGTTTTTAAGCCAGCATACATTGCAAATTCTGTCAGACCAGCCCTGTTTTAATTGTTCTTTCTTTCTCTCAGAAGAATGGGTGAGTGGTCTCTCCATGATGTGCTGGCTCAGTAAGGAAAATGTGACTTTTTGTCCACTTTAAATCATTTGAATTTATCATTATTAGTAAACTACTGTTATGACAGCAATTAATGGCCCCTATGTTTGGCAAGACTAACAAAGAAGCAAGCTTCTATAAAAAAAAGCTTCCCCTGTTTACTCTGTTCCCTTGTGACTTCTGTGCTGCAGTGAAGCATGTCCTCCTCTCTGCCGGCACTAATTTCAGCTGTCCATGAGGCATAGCATAAATTGTACTTTCTTTTTCAGGCTGGGTTATGGTTCACTTAAGGTCAACATTGCCACGTAGCATTTCCTTGCGACTCTAAAGAGCCCCTCATTCTTCCGTGATCGTGGCAAAAATCGGGGTCAGGTATCGCTATAAAGCATGACCCTTAAACATGCAAACTATCTGACGTGGCGAATTGGCATTTATGATTACTTTCAGTCATCCGAAATTTTTTGTATCAATTCTTTTCGCATGTTCTCTTGATTAAAAAGACCTCTTACTTGGAAGATCTTTCTTGGTCACAGTGACATCAAATTAATGAGCTTTTACTGTACGATTTCCTTGGTGCTCAGCAGCTTCAGGCACTTCATTTGTTGTCTGATTACCTAGAATGGGATGGCTTCATTTCGGAACTCTTCCTGCCTTTGGGCTCTGATGGACAGTACTTATGGATTCATATGCAACATCAAATATATAAAACTACCATATTTACTCACATAGTTCTTGCACTTTTTTTTTTTTGCAGAAAACTGAATAAAGGTTGGAGAGTGCGATAGTTACGCAGGGAAAATTTTCTGCGAAAGTTTAGATAGTGAAAAAAAAACGAAACAGCCATAAATCGAGATTCTTATGCCAGCAACTAACTAAACAAGCATTGAAAAGTTCTAATTAAGGCTTACCTTAAAAATAAAACCACACATTCAACACGGTGCGAGATTCATTCGCAGACACTAAAGCCACCGTGACAAGGTTTTTGTGTGTAGACCCTTGACGTAATAAAGAAGTACTACCTCAACCTATAAGTGTTTCCTAGTCTAAGGCCCATGGGAAATCCGATGCATCTTGTTGGTGGCCTGCAGCTGCTCGTTCTGCTTTCGCCAGTAGCAAACACAAAACTCCCCAACTCTAAAGTGCCTGCCGCGGTTCTGTTGTCATCGTTTTGCGCATGATCAATCACTTTCAACTTCAAAGCAGCCATGTAGCTTCTTTATCGACCCATCGCACAACCATAGAACGAACACAATAACATACGTTGCACAGACTAGCACCAACAAACCGCAGTGCATGTGCTTGCCACATTGGCATGGCTTAGATTGAATTGGGGCTTGATATGTTGATAGTGTGCATAATGCTCAAGCGGTGGCGCCAGCCTGTTAAGTGTTATCATCATCATTGGTTGGAAGAGGCAGGTGACATACTGCTGAAGTTTTCAAGAATGCGATAATTACTCGCCGGAAAGAAAATGTTATTTTTGTTGTACAATTCTGGAATGCGAGAGCAATTTGAGTAACTACAGTAGTATATACAATTGCTCGAGATAACCACACCATGTTATGACAAACAGTCTTTAAGAATAACATTAATAGAGCACTTGCTTTTGACTTCTGGTGTACGCAAGACCGCTAAATTGTAGGAGGTGTATTTACACAAGCAGCACTTCAACGTTCAAGCAGCAAGTCAACGTTCACAAGACCAGCAGCTAGTTCAACGTTCACTTACCTTGTGTCCTCTTATTTTTTCTTTCTTTCTTTTGCTCTCAACTATTCAAGGTTCTGTCTCTCCCTCTCTTTCAATGTTCCACGTGCTGGCAGGCCTCTTTTTCCATTAAAATTAACAATTTGGACTCTCTTTGTTCGCACTTCATTTTGAGGTTTCTCGTGTGCTCTGCCTCCTGCAGGTAGATGTCTGGTCATTGGGAATCATGCTGATAGAAATGATGGATGGTGAGCCTCCTTACCTGAACGAGACTCCCCTGCGAGCCCTCTACCTCATTGCGACCCACGGCAAGCCTCACATTAAAGATCGAGAACGGCGCTCCCCTCAGCTTATAGATTTCCTCGACCGGTGCCTTGAGGTAGGTGAATGTTATGTGCTCTTTCCGGCCGAGCACCTTCATGTGTTTTGTTTCTGTTACATGATTAATGTTTGTATTTCATTTTTTAAAAGATGTGGGTTCTTTTACTTCTGTTCTTTAGTTATACATGTCAAAACTTGTGGCACCACAAAATTTATACGGGGACTGATTACCAGCAAAGCTGTAGTTGCGTTACTGCTATTGACGATTCTATGCCTGAGTGACTGCAGACAAAGATATTCTTTCTCAGAGAGAGGGCTTTTGGCCTCATTCATCGCTTTTGCACGGCACAACTGTTGTCTGTATTCACACTGCTACTGTTGACACCCCTATGATAGTTGCTTCGTCATGAATACAGTGCTACAGTCTTGCCACTCTCAGTTTCTTGCAGTGCTTGGTATTGTACTGCAGCAATGTCATAGCACTACGCCTTAGGTGTGGTGTGATGGTGTATGCTCTCTGCAGCATGTATGAATGCTCTCTTGAAATTCACTAATGCTGTCTGTCACATTTCTCGTTCTGTGTAACCCTGTTCACCCAAATAATTTTGCTTTACTTGTAAATTTCTTTTGTATGTATGTGCTAGCACTATTCTTTTTACTACTGGCTACAAGTACTACTTAGATAAGGGTCTAATGTGTACAACTTACTGTCACTCGTAGGGAATGCTGGAGCTTGTTTGCACTGTGCTTGGTCTGGCAGCAGAAAGTAAAATGACCTGCTTGGCCACCGAGCTCGTTGAGCAGACAGTGATGGTGCTACTTGGTGGAGACTCTTAGCGGTCTTACGTGTAGTTTTTTAGCCAAGCTGATTGCTTTGTTATTTATTAGTAAGCAAGCAATGCTTAAAAAAATGTTATGGGCTCATAGTTTGGACAATATTGTGCCCTAGTGCACCTTATTGTTGCCTGTTACAATGTCTTGCAATTGCTTGGACCAGCAATGAATGCAGTAAAGCTGCGTGCAGTTCATTGCGGAAGTAAAAGTGAGCCAGCTGTTAGGCATCACTAATTCTGTGGGTAAAACTGTGTTGTTGATGGTTCTCAAATGGGATAGCATTTGTTATTTCATGTTAGGCTACTCAACAGCTGAGAATTATGTTGGCTAAGTGGAATCTGCTTTGCTAACATCTTCGATCTCTCTCTCCCGCTGGCTGTTTATCTCTCTCTCTCTCTTTTTTTTGAAGGTGGATGTTGAGAAGCGTGCCACAGCACAGGAGTTGCTGGAACATCCGTTTTTGCAGAAGGCAGCCTCACTCTCAACCATTGTGCCTCTGATAAGGGCCGCCAAGAAAGTGCTCAACAAGGCCTGATTGAAGACGTCTTTTTTTACTAGACCAACAATCGTTAGATTGACTACACTAGCTGCAACAGACTGTTTGACATGGCAATCACAGTTCCACGGGTGCCATAATTCCAGGCCATTTTTATAGAACCACGAAGCACCGATTTGTCTTTTAGCTGTGTGTTGTGAGACCGTGGTGTCCTTATCACACATTCATCCGTGATTTCAGCATCCTGCGAGACAGGCAAGGGAGGCCCGTGTTCTTTGTCTCAAATATGCAGGGCTTCCTTCTCTTCATGTGCCTTCTTTTGATCCTCATTAAACTAATGTTTCGTAGTTGTGACCGCAGTGCTAGCCACTGCCAAGCCGAACAATTGCTCATCGAGGGAGGCTTGATAACTTAAAAGAATTAAAACACCTCATCGTTTTCTTTAAATTTGTAATTGGTTTGCTTTTGCCTTTTTCGTAGGATTGATTGAGGTTCCGCTAGTTAAGTTTGGACCACTGTTTTGTTATGAGTCGGTCAGCTGCAAAGAAATGTGTGGAAGTTTATGCATTTTCTATTTGTTTGCCGGTTTTTGTGATGACCTCTGTGCGAAGACGTTAAAGCTCATCTTGTACCAGGGCTTCATATGGCATTGAAGGCCTCATGTTTTGGTGAAAAATTTATGAAACTTTTATGCGTTTCTCATGTTGTTTTTAATCAAGGATGAATAGAACTCTTTACTCGGTGCTTGATGTTCGCACAATGCACATTTTATATGAGAGTAAAATTCCGAGCTCGGGAAACGATTGCTTCCATTGAGTGCATTCCTCTATACTGTAGCAGAGTCTCCTATGGTTTTTGTTCAGATTCCTCATGTGTCCAATCATTTGTGAACCTTCGTCTAGCTGTCCCTCTTCCTCAGTAGTAGTACTCGAGAGTAAGATGAATCTATGCTAACCTCGCCATGGAAGTTTTATCTTAACAGTTCATCATGCTACCACCACTGCTGCCAAGCTTTACAGGGTTGCTGTGATCATTAAAGCAGCTGTGTGCTATTATTATTAACCTTTGTCACACAATCCTTTCGGCTGTTGTTTCACTGACTCACAAATGTGTTGGCCAGACACATTGAAGCATTTGTTGCACGCTATTTAAAATAATCTGCTTGTTCTATCAATTGCACTGTGTGAGTACCGTCATTCCTGAAAAACTAGCAATAACTTTTGAGTCTTGATGAATGTGCTATTGCATGATTACGTCAGTTTGTGCGCATTTGAAGAAGAATGAAAGATGATGCGTCGTGGGTGCAACAAGCTAGTGCGCAGTTTATCCTGTCGGTACACGGTAGGGAGCGTCGGCTTTGTTGCCATAGCGTGTCTTGCCATAACAGATGTCTGAGAGGCCTCTGGCATTGGATTATTCTGCCAGTGTCAATTCCTGTTGGCTCATTGGTGGACTTGCAGCGAGTATTCAGCAAAGTGTTTTAGATTATGTTTGATGATTTGAAAGGTGATTTGTCCTCATGAACCCTTACTGCCCCGATGGCGACGTATTGCACGGCAATAGAAGACTCTGTTCTTTTTTATGTATGAATTTCTGACTGTTGACTTTCAATTGTTTCTTGGAGGCCATCTCGAAAGAAAAAGGTCACACTCTAGTCAAACTCGCTGGCGTGCAGCGAGCACTTGAGTTATTTTTTTTTGCTGTTTCTATGCAATTATGTATATTTTGATCAGAGAAATATTTTGTGTATTCCAATTGTGTATTTTTGATACCTTTGTAAAAAAATAATAAATTTTTTTATGCCAGTGTCAGCCTGCCCTCCTTGTGAACCAGCACTGAACATTTATTGCGAAGTATATATATATTAGGCTTGTGCAAATACAGTACACTCTCAGTAAATGAAAATCTGTGAACTCCTGTTAAACGGAACACACTTCACTGGTCCCTTCAGGTTGCGTTGAATGAGAGTCTACTGTAGTTATTTGGTTCGAATAATCTCGAATGGGATTCGAATAGTATATATAGCATATTACAAAAAAAATGAGCATATTTGTCGTGACCCAACAACTGACCCGGACAATTTTTAAAATTGAAACAACGCATGTGCAAATGTCATTTGTTGGTTCATAGTGAAGCAACATTGAATAGCAGCAGGATTTGACTTTCGATGGAATGCACATAATAATCCGTAAATTGCATAACGTTTAAAAAGCTACGATACAAGAGGCCGTCCTGTCCTTTCGTCTTGTGAATATGGGTTTTTAGCGCTCTAAATTTCCGCCACCTATGCACCGTCTCGCCAAATTTCAAGTTTTCGTGGGGAATATAAGCCACTTTGGCAAGTTTTTAAACTTGCGAAAAAAAGAATCGATGTGAGGTAATATGTAAACACCGAAGTGAGACGTCGCAGCAGTTCGTATTTTTCTTGAAAAGGTGTATTCTCGGTAGAGCACCCGTCCACTGCAGTGAAACTACTTTTACAAAGTGGTACATGCCAGCTAATGTACACCAATTTGTTCATTTTTAATATTTTGAAATTTTCTATAATTTGCATTGAAGTAAATTTGAATAGAACATATCGCATATAAAAGAAAAAGGAGCCTGTTTGTCATGACCCAACTAAACTGCACAGTACTTTTTTTAGATCGAAACGGAGCGAAAATGTACACTTTATGCTTTATCATTATTATGTTCTCGTGTTTCCTTGCGAGTCATATGTGGCAATGTGTATGGGAATGTTATTTAATGTATATCACAGCTGTCTACTCGTATCCCACAAAGTTGAGCATGGGGAGCAAAGACGCTGAATAATTTTGAATTGAATCAAACCAGTTTGAACACTTCCTGAACATCGTGCCCGAGGTGATGCTGCACGTGTGTAATTGTTCATTAGCACACCATTACTGCACCAAAATGTTAACTTCGGTGCATTAATGATATACTGGCTAACAACGTAGTTTTTCCTCATTCTCATTGATAGTGAACACTTTTATAATCCCTCTCCTTGCCTTTTCCAAGGCGAAATCGACCACACCTGCGGCATGCGTGTCGTGTATGATGCAATCCTTTCATGTGGCAGATGTTTATATATGTATATATATTGTGGGGGTCTCGATATGGCGAGCAGTGGGCTCTTGAAGTGAACAGACACAGCAGATGCGGTCAGTACAAACCAAACGACATACATTTATTTGACTAATTTATAACAACGATATCGTCCGCCGCATGATACATCAATTGTAATTAACACGCTACTATACAAACAACATAACACAGTAACACACAATATCATGACAAACACACAATAACATACCCAAGGTGGCGTCACCAACGCTTGACTTACCACGTGGGACCCCGGCGCCAAGCCCGCGGTGCCGAGCACCGGGGACCCTCGCTACAGACAACCGTTCGCGGCAGCCGCCACGTGCAGAAGAGGCTCGCTCAACTCTCGTCCGCCACCAAGGTCTGCCTTCCGCCAGGGGTCACCGCCGGCGCTACCACTCTACCAACAGTGGTACTCAACGCGAACACAACACCATCTATCGCCCGGCGGTCGTCACCCAAAATGCGGCCTAGGGGCGAGACACGTGCGCCACACGGCGCAGACAACTTTACAGGGGGGTGTCAGCACCACCACAATATACAAGATCAACCGGGTGCTGTATATATATGACGGATTGCGGGAGCACTGTTCGGCAGTTCACGCGCAGGTAGCAGGGGGGGGGGGGGGGGGGGTGACATTTGGCGGATAATTGCTGCAGATGTGGTTGTGCTCCTGATTTCGCCAGTACAGGTGTGCTTTGAAAAGGGAAGGATGAGGCAACGCCAGAGATTATAGAAGGGTTCGCTATCAGCGAGAATGAGGGAAAATGTGTCGGTGTGGCGTCGGTTGCCTTATCCAGCAAAGAGATCAAATATTTGAAAGTAAATCTTACGCATTCAGGGTGGTAATATGTGAACTTGCAGACATAAGAAAGCACCTCAGAGTGCAAAAGTGCACGTGCACTAATGTCCGACGGTTTTCGGTCCTTTCAATAATAATAATTAAAAAAGAAACAGTTGATGCCTAGTGCCCGTCCTGTTTATGTTTTCCTTCTGTGTCTCCGTCCTTTTCCGTTTCGTGCTACAAATATGAATGCAAGTGCCTAGCCGAAACTTTCCGCATCTCAGGTGATGTTTCACTGTCTCCCAAATAATATTAGCCATATCCACGATATCACGAGTCAGTCAATGACATCATATATGGGAAGTCATGATGATGTAAAGCATTGTGTCTGTGACGTGATGGTGTGTTTTCTATTAGTATGGTAGCTCAAAGTAATCAAAAATATGCCTTACTAACAAGCTCGTCTCCAACATTCGACTGATCATGTGACGTCATCGACATAATCGACTGATTATGTGAGGTCATCGCTCGCTCGGAGGAGGAGCTCTTGAGGGCTTCCAGATCGCGGACGGACGCTGCAAAATCAGGCATTTGTACCATGATGGCGAGTTCCTGCTCATATATACCCAATAAAGGGAACATGGGGATATCCCCGTGGTAGCTCTGTTGATAGATCGTCGGACGCGTTAATCGAAGGTCGCCGGTACGGTCCGTGCCCACGGCAAATTATCTTTTCGTTCATTTTTGTCTTGACTGTACATTTACTGCTAACAACATTCCCTACACTTTCCTTGGCAGCGTTGTCTGTTAGTTCTCATATTGTATCTTTTCCGATATCTTTTTATTTTTTCTTCATTTCTCTGTTTTTCGTTTGGTGTTACTCCCGTTTTTTTTTTTCATTCCTTTTCCGTGTGCGCGTAATCCTTTCGTTCTCTCTGTATGTCTTTATGTCTTTTTATGCATTTAGTTCTCTTTATTTTTTTATTTTTATCGCTTTCATGTGCTCCACTTAACCGAGCAGTTATTGTTTGACGATCGCACCTGTTGTACTAGGTAGTGGGGCTTGCCCAATACCCGTGGCGCATATCCACCTGCGGTTTTCTGTGGACGTATTTTACGGCCGGATTAAGAGCTCCGCTGTTAAAAGAAAACGGCATATTGCGCGGATAGCCGGTTCATTTTATTATTATTATTATTATTATTATTATTATTATTATTATTATTATTATTATTATTATTATTATTATTATTATTATTATTATTATTATTATTATTATTATTATTATTATTATTATTATTATTAGGGGCGAAGCTCCTTAGGGCGTGGGCTGTGCGTCCCCTGTATGTAGCCACCTCTAGTTTAGTTCTTGCAGTGTTCACTAGATGGCGGTACCGTCCCCTGTATGTAGCCACCTCTAGTTTAGTTCTTGCAGTGTTCACTAGATGGCGGTACCGTCTCCTGTATGTAGCCACCTCTCGTTTAGTTCTTGTAGTGTTTACTAGATGGTGGTACTTGTAGCTGATGATGAAAAGATGCAAGATGTTATAAACTAGAAAGCGGTACTTGTAGTTGATGAAAGACGCGAGATCTTATAAAATAGGAATGATGTCACATATGGCGCGTGTCATTGGTTGAAGGCAATCGTTCGATTTAGTGCGGCGACGTACGCTAGGGGGAGCGATGTAATAAAATCGAGTGGGCAAAATGTACAGAGGATTCATGGTTTACCAGGTTTACCTCCGGAGCTTCGCCCACTCATCATCATTCACTTCGTGGATATGGCGGAATTTTTATTATTTTGCGCATACACGTCTGTCCCTCAGAGCAAATGGCGCATGTCGTCACTGTCATCACAGTGTTTCCCCCTTTATTGAATAGTTCACCTTATTGTGCTAGACTGCTCACTCGAAGGTCGCGGTATCGAATGTCAGCCGCGATGGCCGCATTTAGGTGGAGGCGGAGCACCAGATGCCCGTCTGCATATACATACATATTCACATTGAAGAACCTCGAGGGGTTCTTGAATCACTCATAATCACGACGTGGTTTTCGGAAGTACAACCGTAACAATTAAGTTCAGTAAGCGTTGTTAAAACGTGAAACTACGGGCGTGACGGTGAATTCAAACGGCAATGAGAAAAATTGTCGTGGGATCCCAACCCCACCGAATATATGCCACTCTTGCACTCTGCACCGTTCCTGCCGTGCAGGTGTGCGCAAGTTTATATGATACTCTGGTCTAGATTCGTGGGTAACGAATAATAAATTAAAGGGTGCATATGATCTTCTCAAGAAAAAGATCCTCACCAGAGAAGGATTGGCAACCCTGTTGCCGTATCTGGCCACTAACTCCCACATGGATACGCCAATTGACCCTCGGCCCTCAGTCCTAAGCAGCTGCGAAGCAACTGACCACGGCAGCGGTCAGATCTGCGACGCAGCAGAGGGCGCTAAGAATATTTGGGTCTGGAAAGGCCACCATTGGAACCTGAACTTGGCAACGTTTAACGCTAGAACCTTATCTAGTGAGGAAAGTCTAGCTGTGCTATTCCAGGAACTAGATGGTGTTAAATGGGTAGGACTCAGAGAAGTTGGGAAGCCAGATGAGGCCTATACAGTGCTACAGAATGGGCACGTCCTTTGCTATCGTGGCTTGGCTGACAGAAGAAAATTGGGGGTGGGGTTCCTTATCCACAGAAATATAGCTGGTGACAGAGAGGGATACTATATAGCATTAATGAAAGGGTGGCAGGTATTGCAATTAAACTTTGTGAGAGATTCCAAAAGAAGGCAAGCGGTTGAAGAGGAGACAGAAAGTTAGGTGGGCAGATGAGATTAGGAGATAGAGAGAGAAACCTCGTTATTTATAAAGACACGGAGAAGGAGGGCGTGGGAGGAACCCCTAGTCCGGGGTCCCTGGGATG